AACATAAATTAGTGTTTGCAAATGAATTTATATATAGTGATGCCATAATCATAATTTCATCAAATAATTATATGTGCTATGCTTTATAATTTATCAGAGCTATAATTAACATTATCTCAATTGATCCTGTGATATTTTCCAATGTAACAAATTAGAAAATCAAATTACAGGTTAGATACGTCCTTAAAGTCTCTTAGCTAGAAACTAGAGTAGCAGTCCTAGAACTCTTAACATTCTAACATCAAGGTTCTATTTGGTGGAATTCTCACAATTACCATCAATGATCAGTTTATTCAAAGTTTCCTTGTGCTAGAGACTGTGATCAGCACATTTGCATCATTTAATCCTTACAATCATCCTAATGAAATTTGCATTATTATCACTATTTTACAAATGAAGAAACTGAGATTCAGAGATTTTAAGTATGTCTTAAAATTTTTTTTTTTTTTTTGAGACAGAGTCTTGCTCCATCACTAGGTACCAGGCTGGAGTGGTGCAGTGGCACGATCTCGGCTCACTGCAACCTCTGCCTCCTGGGTTCAAGCAATTCTCCTGCCTCAGCCTCCCAAGTAGCTGGAACTACAGGCTTGTGCCACCACGCCCAGCTAAGTTTTGTATTTTTAGTAGAGACAGGGTTTCACCATGTTGGCCAGGATGGTCTTGATCTCTTGACTTCGTGATCCTCCTGCCTCGGCCTCCCAAAGTGCTGGGATTACAGGCATGAGCCACTGCACTTGACCTACAGTCTTAAGTATTAAGGACGCATAGATATTAAATGGAAAACCTGATATTTGATTTCCAAAATCTAATGCCACAAACAGTATATACAACTCATGCCAACCTACTCCAAACACCATCTATTAAGTATACTGTGGTCATAGTTCCTTGCCAAATGGTATAAAGTGAATGATATGTTTACTGAATTCATTGTTTGGCTGTTAATTTGGGTTTTTGGTACATGTTAAGTGCAGGCCTTCATATAATCAATCATACTGAAAATGTGGTAATTAATTCCAATTAAGGCCACATATCTTATTTTGCTTTGATCTAAAAACTTGAATTATTATAAACATTCTCTGCATCTGTAACATGTAAATAACCATAAGATAATTGTACCAGTCAGGATAAGCCAGGTTATGTTATTATAACCAACAATCTCCAAATCTCAATGACTTCAAATAATAAAAGTTTCTTTTTCACTCATACCACATATTCATTACAGGTCAGTAGGCAGTTCTGCTGTATATTGTTCTGACTCAGTGAGTAGCTTCCCACATCAGGAGTGTTGTTGGTAACCACAGCCGAGGAGAGGGAGAACTGGAGGATCATACATCAATCCTTAAGCTTTAGGTACACGTGACATGTGTTACATCCACTCACACTTTATTTGCCAAAATATGTCACATTGTGTTTCCTGATTTTGAAGAGCAGAGAAATACAACCCTACCATGTGCTAGGACAGAGGAGAACTAGAAATATATCTACTCTAGAAATTTATAGCAATCCCAGATGTTAATCGATTTCATAATGCAGGCATTTCCAAGGTCAAATAAGTTGTGGAAACATTGAATTAAACAAAGTTAAGGAAATTTCCTAACTCTATGTCTTCTCTGGGCTCTACTTTATTAGTAGGCATTATCAATCTCAAAGAAAGATGCTGCTATCAGGGGATTCTTTTTAAAAAAAAAATCAAACACCATTGGCAAAGACTCATGTTCAACAGAAAACACTTTAAGAAACAGTACCACAAGACACTTATTTATTAGAACTTGTTTGTGGAAGGATGAAAGGTAAGAGGAAGGCAAAGAAAGGATGAAGGAAGGTAGGAAAGAAAAAAATACTATAGCAGTGCAGATTAATGGATGGTTTTGGGAACATTTATACAGGAAAGTCATCCATAGTAGCTATTCCCAATTAAAAATAACATTTTCTGATCCCTTGTTCATGACATTGTTAATTTATTATTTATTGAACTATATATTATGCTAGGTGCTGCACTTGTGTTAACTCATTCCACTTCACAATAACATTATAAAACACAGATTATTATCTCCTCATAGATGGAGAAATTAAAACTCAGAGTGGACAATTACATATCGTGTCTTCCATGTTGAAATCCTAACCTCCAGGTGATGAAATTAGGAGATGGGGTCTCTGGGAGGTGAATAGCTCATGAGGGCAGGACTCTCATGAATCGGACTGATGATCTTAGAGACCCCAGAGAGCCAACTTGCCCCATCTTCTGTGTAAGGACTCAAAGAGAAGTCCCAGAATCCAGACTATGCTGTCACCTTCATCTTGGACTTCCCAGCCTCCAGAACTGTGAGACATTTCTGTTGTTATAAGCTACCCAGTCTCTGGTATTTTTTTAGAGCTACCTGAATGAAACCTGAAATAAGACACATAATAATTGCTACACAGATAGTAAACTGAGTTACAGACCAGATGAGGAAGAAAAGTCACGTCCATCTTCAAATGGAAAAGATTGCTCCTGTGAGAGTTGTAAACAAGAAACTATGGTTGGTCAAAAGATGGAAAGATTCCTTTTCAGTCGGTTATCATTTCGTGAACCTTGAAGTATGTGAAAAGAGTGATGTTTGGGGACCTGTGTGAAAAGCATTAAATGTCATATTGTTTGGATTGTCTTCTGGAGGGAATGGTGAGCCACTGAAGGTTTGTGAGGTGGGAGTAACATAATCAGACAATTACAGCAAGACGGATAATTTCAAGTGCAGAGATGACTTTTAGCAATTCAATCCAACCTTCTCAACATATAAATGGGGAAACTAAAGCCCCTAAATTTCAGGCTTCACATCTAGGGCTTTTATTATTGTCAGGAGTTTTTTCATCTGGGTAGCTGACTTGGCTAACTTGCCTCCATTAGGTCACAGAATGACCTCAAGTATTGCCAGCTTTTCATCCCAAATTAAATGAGCCCTAGTGAGGTATTAAGAACTGGCAGCAGAGGGGACTACTTTGCACCCAGGGGGAACAAGTCGTGGTGATAGCAGGATCATGCTAGAGTCCATCTGACATCCAAGGTAGGGATCATCCCTTGGCTGAATGTCCCTGGGGTTGTGCAGAAGCCCAATCCATAGCCACTGACCATAGGCTTACTGTAGTGTTGTGTTAAACCTGGCATTGTCAATATAGATAGTATACATCTCCAAAGAAGACAAGAAGTTTGGTAACACATGGCTCAATAGTTGATGTTGTGGGTGTTCCAAGCACGGTAATACACATGTCCCTCTGGAGTTGATAAAAGACACTGACTTTGACCCATCCAAAGATGGAGTAACTTTGATGAGAGAACCATTGCTGCTGCTTTGATCCCTTTCGTAGCCAATGACCTCCTTACCTCCCAGTTGAACAAGCCAGAAATCAAGGTATCATATTTGACAGCTTTCCCTCCATTGCCCTTGATATTCAATCAGTACCAAGCCCTTCTTTGTTTTGAATACCCATGTGCCCTATCCTCTCTGCCGTGGCCTTAGTTTAGGCCACCATCATATCTAAATTATTGAAACAGCCTTTCTCTGTTTCTCCTGCCTCAAGTCTTGCCTTTCTTAAACCATTCTTCTCACTATAGCCAAAGAAAGGGAGAAAGCAAGACTCTTGGAAATAATTTTCATTTTTTAGAGCAAAAAATGCTTTTAATTAGAGAATAGATTTTTGTTTTATTTTCCAGCTTCCCTACAGAAGAACAGTGATTTCACAAGAAGTACACACGATATGATCATGACCACATACTTTAGCGATTTCAGGAATCACAGACAAGGATTCCACAGAATCAACTAAACAATTATTTGTTCAACTTGCTGAAAACTGAGTCAACAGAGTCAACAGTTCTTTAAGATCTCAAACTCCAGCATTCTCAGTTTAGGTAAGACCTTTGCAAGAACTAGTGCTTTCAGAGGTTTTACGAAAAAAGAAATTGTATTATTTAGCTCTTTGGGATATGGACTCAGCTTTCTATTTTCTTAAATATGTGTGTTGAGAAAAGCATACCTAGGTCATAAGTGAAGGATAACAAGATTCTAGTTAGATAAAATCTTCTGAATTCTGAAGTTATCTTTTCTACTCTTCTATTCTGGTGGTGAGAGGAGAAGCAGCTAGTAATTATTAGCTGTTTATTGAACCAAGCAGGGCACACATTATTGTGTTAGCTCCATGAGGTAGTTAAATCATCAGCACTATTTTACAAAGAAGGATGCTTTAAAAACTTGCTTAAAAGTCTAGATCTGGTAAGTAACAGCCAGGTAACGGCAACAGCCAGGATTCAAACCCAGGACATGAGAACTTGCCTACTTAAGTGCGATATCCCATTGTTCTGACATTTATGTTGCTTTCAATATTCACAAAACCCTTGTGAGATGTGGCTTCCCATTCTAGAGATACGGTTTATTGAGGTTCAAAGAGTTTTTCTTTCTTTTTTTTTTTTTTGACAGGGTTTCACCATAACCCAGGCTGGAGTACAGTGGCACTGTCGTGGTTTACCGTAACCTTGAACTCCTGGGCTCAAGTGTGCCACTGTGCCTGAGTAATTTTTAAACTTTTTGTAGAGACGAGTGTCTCACTAAGTTGCCCAGGCTGGTCTTGAACTCCTGGCCCCAAGTGATCTGCCTATGTTGACCTCCCAAAGTGCTAGGGTTATAGGTGTTACCCACCAGGGTTGGCCCCCAATTCAAAAAGTTTAAACTTGCCCTATGCTACTCAGTAAGTAGCAAGGCTGAGATTAAAACTCATTCTTGGCAACTTCCAAAGTCCATAAGTTTTCCATAATGCCTTCCAATAGGGCATCTGTTTTTATCATCTCACAGATGCGTTGATGGTATTCAGGGGTGATTGAATAGCTGGCAATAATCATAAAACCATATTTTCAAAACTTTACTGTGTAACCCCATGTGCTCTGCAAATATTGTAAAGATGAGCTTCTGACCAATAGAATGTCAGGAAAGTTAGTATAAATTGATCAAGAGGGTGAGAGTCACTCCAGAATTTGATTCGACCATATTTACCACATCAGAGTCTCATTCAATCCTCAGCAAAATGAAGGGCTCCATTTTCACTCTGTTTCTACTCTCTGTCCTATTTGCCATCTCAGAAGTGAGGAGCAAGGAGTCTGTGAAACTCTGTGGGCTAGAATACATACGGACAGTCATCTACATCTGCGCTAGCTCCAGGTGGAGAAGGCACCTGGAAGGGATCCCTCAAGCTCAGCAAGGTAACAGTAATTTTATTTTCCTTTCACATGTGTCTTTTATTTTTTCAAACTGTTTTTAAAACCATTATTTAATTGTTTCTCTAAATACTGTTGAGGCATTTTTATGTCAATTTAAGGGATTAGGTTATCAAAATATACTGAATTTGGCTTGGGAAAGTGATGAGCATGCTACCTTTCAAAAAATAAGGATCTCTTTCTTTAGTCCCTTGCTTGAAATCATTTGATTGCATGACTACTTCAATGAGCTCAGCATCTGTGGAAGGTACTATGGAGGCTACAGAAGCATTGATTTCAAGGAGCATGTTGAAGTAGCAAGACGTTCACACATGAATAATTATACAATATAATAAGTTGGAATTCAGGCAGGTGTCAAATACGGATGCAAGGAAAGAAGCTGACCCTAATCGAATGCTTTCAAGTGCCAGGAAGTTACGTGTGCAACATTTCATTCAGCTATCTGAGAAGGATCCTGTGAAGCAAGCAAAATTACCACCATTTATCATTTTACCAAGAGGAAAACTCAGCAAACCAGGCCTATCTGGCTTCAGGAGTCTTTACTTATTCCATACTGAGTCTCAGGTGGGGACGAGAAGGTGGTGGACTGTTGTGATAAATAACAGCATCATGGAGGTGGTGGTTACTGACAGAGGTCCTGAAGGATTGGGGGATTATGAAAGGTGGTGGGGAGGCAGGGTGGGAATTCTAGTAGTAGAAATTGTACGATCAGGATTTTGAAGGTAGAAATGATCCAAATGTCTTTCAGAAATGGTGAAGTGACTAACTTCACAATATTTCTTTATTATTCAATTCAACTAACTTAAACATTTGACTGAAATTCTTTCTGATAATTCTATGTTAAATTATGAGATAGAATTTATTTAAAATCCCATTTTAAAATTTTTATTTATTTGTTTGATTAGAGACAGAGTCTTGCTCTCTTACCTAGCTGGGGTGCAGTGGCACAATCATAGCTCACTGAAGCCTCAAACCCCTGCGCTCAAGTGATCCTCCCGCCACAGCCTCCTGGGTAGGTAGGACTGCAGGTGTGTGCCACCACATCTAGCTAATTTTTAAATTTTTTGTAGAGATGGAGTCTTGCAGTGCTGCCCAGGCTGGTCTCAAACTCCCGGCCTCAAGCAATCTTCCCTCTCGGCCTCCCAAAGCACTGGGATTACAGGCATAAGTCACTGGGCATGGCTGAAAATCCTATTTTAAACATTATTATTTTCGTTGATAAAATTATATATATTTGTTGTGTACAATATATTGTTTTGAAATATGTATACATTCAATATACATGTGGAATTGCTAAATCAAGATAATTAACATCTGCATTAGCTCACATACTTTTTTGTGATAATACTTAAAATCTACTCTTTTAGCAATTTTCAAGGGCACGGTGCATTGTTATTATCTATAGTCACCATGTGGTACAACAGACTTCTTGAACTTATTCCTCCAGTCTAACTGAAATTCTGTGCTCTCGACCATCTGTTCCCCAGCCAGCCCCTCACCTTCGCCCTCCTGTAACCATCATTCTCCTTCTACATTTCTGAGTTTGACTTTTTAAGATTCCACATGTAAGTGAGATCATGTGGTGTTTGTCTTTCTGAGTCTCGCTTAAGAGTCTATTTAATTACATGGTCCTATTTGCTATGTTTTATAGTAAAAAGTTAGAAAGGAAAAATGTGATTACATAATAAATGTTGAGACCATATGTATGATTATTAAGGTTTCGATTTAATTTGAAATGATGTTGGTAATAGAAAACATTTTAGAAAATGACCTCTAGTGTTCGTATTTGGGTGGGCTAATGTCTTGGAAAAGCATGCATTTTCCAGTTTCATTACCACTTTAATATTGAGGTTCATATTACTAGATGCTAACAAAAATTATATGGGTTTTTAACCTTGAGAGAGTAAGCATAACTTACCAGGATATACAGCAATTTCTGGAATAGTAAACCAAAATGCACTATAAAAAATACATTTGGGATATCTCTGATACTCATAGGGCAGTGGAATAGATATCTATAAGGCTAGCTCTGTTGGACATCTCTGAAATTATACTACTACTTATTAAATCTTTTGTAGATTTTCAGAGTGTTTTCCCATATATTATTTACCTGATCAATTACTGATTTGCCAAGCAGCATCCATTCACCATTTTCTTGGTGCCTGCTGGTGTGCTAAGGCACTGATAAGTCAGTTTGAACTAAATTAAAGTGAGAGAAGCTTATATGTGAACTTTGGAAACAACACTTAAAACTGTGAAGTTCACTTTTTGTTTTCAGATACAGAGGTTTAAGTCTTCATTTCCTTCTTTACTGCTCAGGATGGCAGGGCATACACAGGGTTGCTTTTTTGTTTATGTGTTTTTTTCATTATAGCACATAACTAATAACTTTGGAAGCTGCTGGTCATCCAGTAGAGGTAGCGAATAAAAGAAGTCAAGTCCTGACTAGCTGAACGACACTGGGTGTTACTTCTCTTTGTACTCAGGTTTCTGCCTCTGTAAAATGCGGGGAGTGGAGATGACTGGGCTCTCCTCAAAATGTCTCATCTCTCTGAAACCAGACCAACATTAAAAAGAAATTATGTGTGAGATTCGATTTCATTTCAGAGATCCAGTTCATTGTCCCAAGAGTGGAATGTGGTTGCTGCCTTCTTTGTAGGAGTTGTCTAAGGATGTATTATTTTTTTCTCTTCCATACAGCTGAGACAGAAAGATCCTTCCAGCTCCCAAATAAACATGAGTCTTCAGAGGAAAATCCAGAACAAAACCCTTTGAAGGTGGATGCCTCAGGGGAAGACCATCTTTGGGGTAGACAGATGCCCACTGAAGGGCTTTGGGAGTCAAAGAAGCATTCAGTGATGTCAAGACGAGATTTACAAAGTTTATGTTGCACTGATGGCTGTTCCATGACTGATTTGAGTGCCCTTTGCTAAGACAAGAGCGAATACGCAGTGGGTGGCAGAGCTTTATCACATGTTTAATTGCAGTGTTTTACTGCCCGGTAGAACACTAACATTGTGTTACTAAATGATGGCTTTTGGGTAGGCAACTTCCTTTTCTAAAAGGTATAGATGAGTGGATGCAACCACAGTGATCTCTATTTTCTCTCTTTGCCAAGGTTAATGAACTGTTCTTTTCAAATTCTACGAATGCTTTGAAACTTCAAATGCTGTGCAAAATTGCAATAAAAATGCTATAAACCAAGCTCACTGTGTCGTTTTTATTTTTCAAAAAATTGTAAACAACTTTTAAACAGTAAACAGAAAATGCTGGTGGTAGAAAAATCTAAAAATATACATAAAAAATAAAAATCAGCTATTATCTCATCATACAGAAATAACTATTCATTCTTAACGTTTGGGTTACTGTGTATTGTTACTGAAAACTTAAACATAGATTCATAGTGTAAACAAAAATGTATCTGAGACAGGTCTCAATCAATTTAGAAGGTTATTTTGCCAGGGTTAAGGATATGCACCCAGGAGACAGGTCTGTGCTTTTCTCCAAAGATGACTTTGAAGCCTTCAATATTTGAAAGGGAAAGGGTGGATATCGGGGAAAGAGGAATAACTTTTTAAAAGGTGTGGGTAGGTGATAAGCAAAGGGTTGCATGCTTTTGAGCCTTTGATCAACCATTCACATGTGAGAGGGGAGTAGAGAAATAGGCACTTGTGCGTTAATCTAGGTCAATGAGTCCGCATTTTTACATAAGATAAAATAAATGTAGGGCAGAGGAAGCAATCAGACATGCATTTGTTCCAGGTGAGCAGAGGGATGACTTTGAGTTCTGTACTTTGTCCTGCACCTGTGAAGATAAGCTACCAACTTACATCGTCCTAGTGAAATTTGACAGAACTGTTTTAGAGTAAAGATCTTGGGGCCCACAAGAAATTTCCTAGTGGGTAAATTGTGAGGGAGGTATGTAGCTTTTTAAATCTTTATGGTTATCTTAGGAATAAAATGGGAGGCAGGTTTGCCTGATGCAGTTCCCAGCTTGACTTTTCCCTTTGGCTTAGTAATTCTTGAGTCCTGAGATTTAGTTTTCTTTCACAATAGTCAAATATAAGAATCTAAACAAAGTGCTTTCCTCAAAGTGCCTTACAGTGCTCAATTAGTGTTTCCTAATATCACATAGCCCTTCAACATTCTATTTGAAAATAGCTGGGGGAATGTATGTATCAACCAGGTCCCACAAACAGCTGAAACCCAGAGTATGTTTAAGTAATAAGCTTCCTCCTGTAGTATGGGCCGCTTTGGTTTTGCCTTTCTACTCATTCTACTCTCATTCTGGAAGTTGAGAAACAAAGACTCACATAACCAAGTCATTGTTATGCAATTGGATGTCTTCCCAGGTAAAATGACAGAAGACAGAGTAAGGATATCACAAAACTGTGCTTTTCTTTCTAACTCTGACAGCCAACTCCCCGAGTGAGTTGTAACAGTAGTCAGAATCTCTGTTCATCCAAGCGCCGCTCTTATTACTACAATAGTCCATATTGGAAATCCATCTACTAAAAACTGGGCACTTAAATTGTCACAGGGCATTGTGCATGGAATTTAAACACTTTCCTTCACACATTTGTTTCAGAAAACGTGTGAGGATGTGAAAGTACTTTGCCACCATTTTGCAGATGAGGAAACAGGCTCAGCAGAAGTAAGTAAATGTGCCCTAAGTCACACAGGTTAGTGGATGGTGTTACTGGCTCCAAACTTAGGCTGCTTAATGATTCAAGACAGTTATACCAACCTGTACTAGTAGTCAAAATATTCTTTGCTACCAGGCACTCTGACTTTTAAAAGCAGGTCAGTTTCCCTGAAGAATGTCCTTGATGAAGCAGTAAAAATTAATTACATTAATCTCAACCCTTGAGTCTTTACAATATTCTGGGTGATGTAATGGGAAGACTGTATGAAGCTTTTCGGCAGCATACTGAAGTATGGTGGTTGTCTGAAGGATAAACATTTATGTAATTAATTAGCAAACTTAAAATTTATGTAATTAAATTTTGAGCTGCTTTTTCCGTGAAGCACCATTTCTTTCTTTCTTTCTTTCTTTTCTTTTCTTTCCTTCCCTCCTTCCTTCCTTCCTTCCTTCCTTTTTTTTTTTTTACAGAAAGAGTGAAAATCTAGTTATTCAGATTTGGGGATTTGAAATGAAATGAAATAAGATTTGAAAAGTGAATGAAGTGAAACTTTCACTTCAAAGAAAACAACTGACAGTATTTTTTGCTGATGATAAAATTTAAGCTTTTGGAAAATTTTGGGAAACATATACCCTACCATCAGCATCAGTGATGATATTAATGAATTTGATTTTTTGACATTGTGTGTCAACATTTGGAAGACATGCATAACTTAGTAAACCAATATTTTCCAAATGATCAATGCATAAAATAATGAATGGGTAAAATATCCACTCAAAGGGCAAAATAAAGATTTTAATACAGTACAAATGATTCATTGATATGACTTCATATTTATATGGCAATCTAACTTTAATAAATGCTTGTTGAGTTTGGGGATATATAAAAAAATTTAAAAACTATCTGAAAAAGTTAATAAAATAATCTTCCCTCTCCAAGTAAATATCTATATGAGGCTGGGTTTCCCAAATGCAGAAACCGGTATGGAATCAAGCTGGTTTTACTAAGCCAGCCATTAGAGCGTTACAAAAATTTGAAACAATGCAAGTCTTCTTAGTACATATTTTGTTGTTGTTTTATGAAGTATAAGTAGTTTGTTTTTTTGTTTTTTTGTTTTTTTTTTTTTGAGGTGGCTTGTCATTCTGTTGCCCAGGCTGGAGTGCAGTGGCATGACCTCGGCTCATTGCAACGGGGTTCAAGTGATTCTCCTGCCTCGCATGTGCCACGTAATTTTTGTATTTTTAGCAGGGACGGCGTTTCACCGTGTTGGCCAGGCTGGTCTCAAACTCCTGATCTCAAGTGATCTGCCCGTCTCAGCCTCCCAAAATGCGGTATTACAGGAGTGAGCCACCACGCCTGGCCACGTTTTTGTTTTTTTTTTTTNTGAGACGGAGTCTGCTCTGTTCCCCAGGCTGGAGTGCCGCGGCGCAACCTCGGCTCACTGCAACCTCTGCCTCCCGGATTCAAGCGATTCTTCTGCCTCAGTCCCCGAGTAGTTGGGACTACAGGCGCGCGCCACCACGCCTAGCTAATTTTTGTATTTTTAGTAGTGATGGGGTTTCACCATATTGACCAGGCTGGTCTCGTACTCCTGACCTCGTGATCTGCCCGCGTCGGACTCCCAAAGTGTTCGGATTACAGGTATGAGCCACTGTGCCCGGCCCCAAGTTTTTATAAAATATCTTATTTGTGTTAACTCATTTAAAAATAATAAATTTGGATTTATTATTTTTAAATGAGTTAATAAATTTAAATTTCTCTGTTTTAAATTTCAATGTAATAAATATTAATAGATTCAACCCACATAAACAAAAGTTATTTGAAGTTGTTAATAACATTTAAGAGTGCAAAGGAGTTCTGAGACTAAAAAATTTGAGAACTGCTATTCTATAATATGTATTGCCACATTTTTTGATCCCATCAATATATATTCAGATTGTTTTCAGAATTTGCAATTACAAATAAAGATGCAATAAACAACTTTTTTCATATATCCTTATGCACTGTCACTTATTTCTGTGGGATAGCTTACCAAGTTGCTGGGGAAAGCAGTATATATATCTATATATCTATAGATATATATATCTGCATTATATTTTTATTATTTATTTACTATATTCTTATTTATATTAGTTATAAATGTATTTATATAATTTAAGTACATGGAGAAACAAAGAAGAAAAATAGAACCTAGTCTCTCAATAAATCCTGTAACCGCTTTTTTTGCAGAGAAAAAAAGAATATATGCATAAGCTTAGGAAATGCAAACAGTCCACAGAAACATAAAATAAATCAAAAGCCTCACTCTCTTGTATTTGGTTTTAACGTCATAACATAACCTTTATTAAGAGTTTCTTATAACTGCTGTCAGAAGTAAAAATCATATTTATACTGAATTTGGTGTAACTGCAAATACAGCTAGGCAGCTCATCTATCTATCTATCTATCTATCCATCCATCCATCTATCCATCCATCCATCTATCTATGTAATCTATCTAATGGATCAAGCTCTATAGCATAGACTTTTAACTGTGCATCGAAAATTTCTTCTCCTCTTCCTCTTCAGCACAGGGCAAGTCTACACTACTCAACCTCCTTTGCGGTTATGTTTGGTCATGTGACTGAGTTCCAGCCAATTAAATGTGAGTAGCTGTGATATGTGCCACTTCTAAGACTAGTCCATGAAATCTCCCAACCTCTCCCTTAACAAACAACAAGTTTTGAGTTGTTTTTTGTTTGAGTCTATTTTTAAGGTAGCAAACCTACTCTAATACAGTATCTACTGAATCTATCATCCTATTTCACACCAAAATGGATTATACACAGTGTGCTACATCTAATTGTTGTCCTACATCTCATTATTTAATATATCTTCATATATTTCAATAACATCTCAATATATGTATTTTAAATGTAAACACACATCAAGAGACGACCATCTAAAAAGTGTGCATTAATTCACGTTTCCACTAGAAATTTATGAGATAGCCTATTCATCTATATTCTCACCTGTCTATAATGTCATTACACTTGCCAAAATTTGGCGAAATTAGGTGAAATATTAAACATAATTTTTGGTTTGATTTGCCTTTACTTGACTATGGAGTGATCATCTTTTGTATTTATTGGTCACTTGTATTTTCTCTTGTGTAAATTATTCTGTCCATATGCTTTGCCCATTTTTCTATTGATTTTTCTTATCCAATTTCAAAACATTTTATATTAAGAATACTAACTTTTTGACTGGCCTTTATGTAAAATATTTTCCCCTAGTCTTTTTACTTCATTTAGGATGTCCTTTGACATACGATGTCTGTCTTTTCTTTTACAGTTTCTGAATTTCCTGCTTTGCTTAGGAAGATCTCCCTTACCATGAGGTTACACAAAAATTATCCTGTTTTATTCTAATAACTTGCTGTTTATCCTTCTAATTTATATCTAATTCATCCTACATTTATTTTTGCATAGCATGAAGTGGTTAATTTTAATTTTCTTCCAGATGGAGAGCAACTTTTGCCTGCGTCATTTATTAAATGAATCATTTTTCCCGTAAAAATTCC